TCTCAGATGATTCCGTTCTCCTAGCAAAAATTTTTCCATTCCACGTCCACACATACAGCTGCTGCCACGTCTTTGTAGAGCACGCGAGCAGCCAGTTTTTGCTCCATGGCGCGACACCTTGTGACAGTTTGGGGCTCTGAAGTGGTGTATAAGGAGCATTCTTGCCCATGTTGTGAGGCTGACCACATCAGAGCCCGGTACTGCCTCAAGGTTTCGCCCCACAGAGCAAAAACCGGCTGCTTGCGTGCTATACACAGACGTGGCCATGGCTGTACTGCCATCCAACGTCAGGCTTCTTAGCTACGGTAGCACCAGGAAGTTGTTTCCCAAGCTGGGTTAGGTTTTCGTTGACAAGGATAGGATCATTTGACTGGAAGCAAATTTCGGTAGCAGAAAAACGTGCCCTCTTCACTTTAGCCAAGAGAGCATTGCGTTTTTCCCGGCGAACAAAACGTACAATTATCTTCACATCAGGATGTTTAGTTCCCATTGTGTGGCAAACATCAATATCTGCAGAAGTGATAGGTTCCCAAAATGCTGTGCAAATTTTCTGGACTATGTCGGAAGGGTCACCTTCATTAGGCAAGCCTTTTATTTATTTATTTGTTTATTTCTACTGTTAGCCAAAGGCTGATACAGGGTGAAGTACTGAAATACTATCGCATATTGTTCAAAGACACAAGCACTACACAATGATTCAAGACAGACAATGTATCTGGCAGCTTTAAACACAACTATAGGCCATGCAGACCATACAAATCGTAACGCCAACGAAAAGTAACTCCAACCAAAAGTACAACGCACAAAGGTATTCAAGTTTTACACAGTGATGATCAACATTGAGCTGAGAGCAACACAATCGCAGACACTACCCTCAACATACACTGTTCCACATGCTTCAAAATTACAATAATCAAAATCAGGAACTGTTTATCACTACGTCTAATTATTTGAACTGATGTGAAAGCATACAAACCGCCATTCACCAAAAAAAAAGGGAAGATGAAAACGCTTATATACAGTAAGCTTGAAGAATAATAGGCCAGTACCTTTTTTATTCAAATTCCTCTGAAGAGTTAATTTTAGTTATATTATGCGGTAGCAAGTTCCACTCTTCAATCGTTTTCGGGAAGCGGGAGTATTTAAAGGTGCCAACCTTTCTGGGTAGGGGCACAAATTGATCCTGATGGCTCTTTCTGACAGACCGGAAAATACATGGCATTCTGTTTTGAGTGTATCAGTGAGAATTAAAGTTGAAGCAACCGTGTTTCAATAAGTGAATGAATTTTAATCTAGCAACTTTTCGCTGTAATGAATGCTCAGGCAAGTTTAGTTGAGTAAGCATTTCGGTCACTGATTCTGTGTACCTATATTTCTACATAATACGAAGTTTAAGAATAGCGCACCACGAGCCCTTGTGGTGCGTTCGCTGCCACTGCGCATGCGTCGTACGCAAGCCACCGTTCGCGTTCGCGGCCTGCCCGCGGAAAACCCGAATTAGCGTGCGGCGATCGTGGCCCGCGAAGTGCTGGTGTAGAGGCTATGTGTAGTTTCCGTGCATTTGAGTTTGTGGGGCAGCTAAAGTCCCTAGATTGTTCCCTAGGAGGGGCAAACGTTATTCTATAACTCATATGATACCCGCAACGCCCGCAAACGTTATTCTCAAACTTCCTATGAAATCTTGCTGCCCGTCTCCTTATTTTTCAATTTTTATCTAGTTTTTTCCATGCGTATCTCATATTATGCTACCGTACTCAAGGGCGGTTCGTATCAAAGTCAAGTATTCAGTTAGTTTAACATCTCGGGAAGGAAAGTTTAGCTTACGTCTTAGCGTACAAAGATTTACGACTACGGTATTACATATTTATTTATTTATTTATTTATTTATTTATTTATTCAAAATACCTTACAGGCCCACTGAAGGGCATTGAGTAAGGGGGGCATCAGTATACAAACGAAATAACAGTAAAAGAGAAAAGCAGACGAATATATATATATATATATATATATATATATATATATATATATATATTTATATATATAAAAGATTACAAAAATCAAGGTGCAACAGTGTTATACATTACTAGAGTGCAACGAAATCAGGTTGTCACGATAAATTTCACGGTTACAAATGGATACAACATGATCCGGAAGACCGTTCCAATACGCAATGGCTCGAGGTAGTGATCATAAGTTAAATGCCGGCGTGTGACCATGAATGCGCATAAAACTACGTGCATTGTGAATGCGCTGGGAAGTGCGCGCAGGAGAATAAAGTGGCAAACAGTGAATTTCGTTACTATAAATGTACCTATGAAACAGTCATAAAAGAGCAATGTTGGGGCGCATTTCTAGTGACTGAAATGCAAGGTCTTGTTTTATTAGGGTAATACTTGAATGATAGTCGTAGTTTCCGGAGATGAATCTCGCTGCCTTATTCTGGACGGCTTCCAACATACGTACCAAGTAATCTTGATATGGTGACCTTGTGGATGATGCATACTCTAGCTGTGGGCGAAGATAAGTAATATATGATCATGGGCGTACGTTAGAAGGAGCGTTGCGCAAGTTTCTGCGGAGATATCCGAGAGATTGAGATGCTTTCGATGAGACAGCTGCTATATGCGTAGTCCAAGATAGATCCGATGTAAGGTGAACGCCTAAATATCTGTAAGATGGTGTAGCTGACACAACGGCGTTATTAATGTTATAGTGAAATGCTGAACTGTTATGCTTTCGAGTGAACGAGATTAACTTGCATTCAGAGGCGTTAAGGGACATATGCCAAGTTTCGCACCACCGGAAGGTTAGGTCAAGGTCATTTTGGAGAAAGGAATGATCATTAAAGCATTTGATGTTGCGGTATATGGCGCAATCGTCAGCGACTAACCTAACTGTGGATGAAAGGTTATCGGTCAAATCATTATTGTATATTAGAAAAAGTAACGGACCTATTATACTGCCTTGGGGAACACCGGATGTGACGTCGCAAATGTTGGATCAACTGTCATTGATTACCGTAAGTTGCTCACGCGAAGAGAGGAAGCTTTGTAGCCAAGACAGGATTAATGAATCAATAGGGAGTGCGGCCAATTTAGAGATTAAACGACAATGAGGGACAGTATCAAATGCCTTGGCGAAATCAAGGAAGAAGCAATTGGTTTGTTCGTTAGCGTTCATATTAAAGTGAAGGTCAGTCGTGAATTCGAATAACTGGGTGTCACATGAGTAGCCTTTTCTAAAGCCATGCTGATGGGAGTAGAAGAAGTTGTGTGATTCAAGATGATCGTAGATATGAGAAGCCACGATATGTTCAAGTAGTTTGCAAGAGAGGTATGTAAGTGAAATGGGTCGATAATTACGGGGCGAGTGCCTGTCACCAGACTTAAATACGGGAATCACTTTACCAATCTTCCAATCCTTGGGCAGTTCGCCTGTTGATAGCGATTGGTTAAATAGGAGACAGAGGAAGCGGCTGGAAATATCTGTGGTGTTCTTCAGTATTTTAGAGTTAATGTTATCAATACCTGATGAAGTAGAAACGTTAAGATATATTAGAAATGTGCCTTTTCCAAGATAAGTCATCACTCATCGTAATGCCTAGATACTTGAAGTGCCTTACTTGTGTTAATGGCTTACCATCTGGCATATAATGATAAACTAACACAATTTTTTGTTTTCTAGTTTGCACGCATATACTGTTTTCTCGTGCTCTATTTTCAGTTTCAATTGTGTGCACTGATTAGTAATCGATAATAGTGCTGAAGCTAACTAACTTATCTTTGTGACATGATATTTTAGAATATATCCGGTAATCGTGCGCAAATAGGCGAACAGTGATTTTCCTGCTAAAGTCATTTGTAGTGTCATTTATCTAACAAAGAAATAAAACAGGTCCTAAAACCGACCCCTGAAGGTGCCGGTTGTTACATTTATTGTTTTCGATTTCTTCCCTTCAGTTTCCACGTATTGCGTTTTATCAGTTAGATATGATTGGACCAACTTAACTATATTCAAATTAACTCCGAGGTCAAGTAGTTTACCAAGTAAGTATGAGTGCGAGACGCAGTCGAAAGCCTTCGATAAGTCTAAACAAATTCCGTCGATCTGACCTGTTTCATTAATTACCTGAGCAAGTTTCAAGTTTGTTTGCTCTTGTGTACACCTCTAAGACCTCAACTTTCACACGTAATTTCTTAATTTCTATCACGAGAATTTTTTTTTTACTTTCGCGCATCTGCAAGGTTTTTTCGCAACGATTTTTTTCTTTTCGGCGAGTGGCCCAATGTCGTCATAGACAGCAGTACAACTGTCCACACTTTTTTTTTTAAATCACGAAATTCCACCCATACTTCTCGCTGAAATACGCCTAGTTTCTTATTCACCTTTTACCAAGACAACAGCAAGCAGACTCAACGTAGACAATGGTACTTGGCAGCAGTGCTAGCAACGATACAATTGAGGTTCAGTACTGAAATTTTCATCTGCGTACAAAGAATACTTGTTAGCGCCGTGAAGCGTTGCAAGCACTGCTGCCAAACTGCTGTCCGAGCGGAAGTTTCCTGGATTATGAAATGATCGCGCTCTGGGGAGGCACGCAGGCACAAGATTCGCAAAAGTGACGCAAGACTCATGAACAGAGCGGTATCTCCACAACAGCACCAGAAACGACATCTCTCGGCCTCAAATGGTTGCCAGGCAGTGATCAATGTTGGCGGTTAGATTTTTACAAATGTAATCTTGAATGACTGTTGCTGCCCTCATTGAAATCGCAACCACAGTACTTTTGCGTTGCTTCCTCAAATATAAAATCACCGTCGTTTTCACTCACGCATGGGTATGCGTTTGGCTACTTTTGCTGTTTAGCAACTTTATGGCTTCTTTATTCCTTCTTTTGGTATTTATTTGTCCTTTAGACCTGGAAGAGTGCACAATACGAGCCCTTGGTTTCCTCTGCCATAATCACGCAGATGCCAGCTTCTCACTATTAAGGAACTTACCTCATCAGGAAAGGTGTCTCGAGTGGCGCACTTCCGTAGAGTAGCGCACCTCGTCCCCTTTGTGTACGACGAACAAGAGAGCCGAGTAGAGCACGTGTTCGTTGTGTTGAAGAGTCATCGCAGCAGGCGTAGATTAAAGTTGCACAAACAAGTCAGCAGCCGCGCAGCGGAGGAGTGGACATATAATAGCAAATGGTGTTGTTGCCCTTCGAAACGTACCCGAAGCGCGAATTGGTCACCCGCAATAAAAGACTTTGCCGATGGCATGCCCAATATGGCTCAACTGCCACTTCCCGCCAAGGCGGTGATGTGTTCAATGAATGGACGACAAGGCGCCAGCTTGACGCGCTAACATCACAGTCTGTGCGACGCAAGACCGAACAGATGCGCAAGGGCAACATCGTTCTCAATCAAGCTGCCCGTCTTTCAGCGGTGATCATCTTCTGCGTTTCAGGCTGCTCTGTCTTCTATGCCCAATGTGAAGGATCACAGCTGCGGATCGAGGTATTTCCACGGTAATAATCATGCTGGCGTAGTGATCAGTCTATTTTCGTTAAAGTAAAGAGCAAATAATACTACGTCGGAAGCACAACCATGCAATACGTGCAGCTGAGCCTCGTGCACCCACGACATCTCAATAAGCCAGTGCTGAAAGTCGTACATTGTGACTAAAATGCGGACTGCGACTTGAGCATTAGTAAACAAACAGCACCAAAGATATGTATACATTAATCTGGCCAAAAGAACTATTCATTCAAAATGTCGGAATAAAGGCAGTAAAGCTCTTGTTTGGGCTAGATGGTGAATGCATGAACACATAACTCCAAGCTGCACAAAAAAAAACGCAGAAAAAGAATGGAAAGTTCCAGGCCGGGCGCAAACATTAGGTGTGACTTAGGAAATCAATGCAGGCGAATATGAATAAACGTCATCTCGACACGTGCATATATAAAAAAACGATATATATTTCAATGTTTTACAAGAATTGTCAGAGACACACCCATGACATGACGTGTCTTTTTTAGCATACGAACCCCATGAAGGAAATACTAAGCGGGAAAGCTATCCCAGATAGATATCATAAAGAAAAAAAAACAAGGCCGCAAAACAAACATTAGTGATGGCGTGCCTGTTTATGGCATGCGATAAAGAAGCACCCGCATAGACGGCTGTGCTCGCGTGGGATCACTTGTTCATGCATTTTCCTACGCTGCCCTAGTTAAGAAAACAATTAGGCTTCAGTGCTAGCAACATGTTCTTGGTCTGTTTATAACAACCTAATGTTATCGCAACCCTCTTTGCCACATCACAGCGCTGCTGTAACGTGCACGTAGCATAAACGAGAGTGCTGACTCTCCCAAAACCACAATAAGATTGTGAGGGACGCTGTAGTGGAGAGCTTACTGAGAAATGGTCGAGTAAAAAGGGTATGTTTTCGTCCAACAAGGCGAAAGGCCCGTGTACTGTGCGATGTGAATGCACGTCACAAAGCACACCAGATGGTCGAAATTTCCGGAGCCCTCCCACTACACGGCGTCTCTCATAATCATTTCGTGGTTTTGAGACGTGAAACCACAGATATTATTATTACTATTATTGTCTCCCCCAACAATAATTGTCAAATGTGTTGCGTTACTTTCCTTGCATAATTGCCGCGTGCCCGTTACTTTCATGTCACGAATGTATGCGCGTTATCAGCGTGACATATACCACTCTTGATAGGTAAGTGGCCAGAGCCGAGTTTATGAAAAAAGGACGCGCTGGCAAGCCGGATGAAGATTATTGTTGTGAACAAAAAGACACCCTTTTTGCTCGATTATTTTTTAGAGTGCTCAGCAAATTCGACTACTTGGTGTTCCAAAATCTAGGCAGGTGGGCCTCTAGCATGCTCGCCTCCATCAAGAATGTGGCCGTCACGGCTGGAGTTCGATCCTGCGACCTTCGGGTCAGCATTCGGGCACCATAATCGTTAGATCACCGTCCTAAACGAGAGTGAATAAATGCAGTCTTTGAAACCGTTTGACTCTGACTACCATGGCTGAAAGACTTTTCCTTTAAGGGGTTTTGATTGTAAACAGCAGTTCATTGCATTAATAGACGATGTATTCTGGCGAGTTACGTCACCGTAACGCCACAAGGTATATAATTCACAATTAACAAGGCTCTACAGTGATTGTTACGCCTTCGGGTAAGGAATTGATGGCATCACGCGAGACTCCGCGTAGCTGCACCATATATATACAGGAGTAAGGATTGCGGAATACGCTGTGTCACCTGTCTTAGCTACCAAACAGACGCTTCCTCACAGACCTAGAAAAGAGTATTTATGTGAACGTGGCCCTCCCTCATGCTGATCTCAGTTTGCTTCATCCGTGTAATAGGAGGACCTTTGATGAATATCTAGTGAGCAGCGATAACTATAACATACAACTGCTTTTCTGAATGGCCGCGATTGAAACAACAATAGTCCTTTAACTTACACAAGTGTGCGTAATAACAACAGGACCAGAGAAGAGTCACCACACTAAATTTCAGTAACTTACTGTGACTAAGTCTGTGAGTAAGTCGGAGCTATTGTGAGAATGAAATTAACTTGGAGGGTGCCGAAAGCTCACCGTTGGCTGGTGACGACTTCAGCTCGTGCAACGGTTTACTTCTGCAGGACGCGCAATAACAAAATGCGCAAGATCTCTCAGCATTTTTACGCCGCGAGATAACGAGAACCATTAACACATTATAGCGGTAAAAGGTGATAGTGTCATTCCTATAGCTTTCACTCGCACGAATAGACCTTGGTTGCTGATAAGCATTCGACTGTGGAACATGCAGTGTACGTATACGCAGCTTTAGTTCTGCGATGAATGCAGACTCTGCTTCGTATGGCAACATCGCACATTTGTGGTAACATCTCAGGGGCGAATCCAGAACAGCTTTAAGGAGTGGAAGGGGCCCTCGCCAAACTGAGAGACTGCCAAAATAAGGCGGGAGAGGGGGTGTTTGCCGAGTTTCGCCTCAATAAAACCCCACAAAAATACCGAATTTTTTCTCACCGCATGCCAAGAACACTGCTAAAGCCGGGATGTCTACTAATGTACATAATGAGCATTCAGTCTGGCAGAAAGCAAAGTAACCTCTGACCTTACTTTGGCGTCCACATAAGCAGCGTATTATTGATGAATGAGAACAAAGCGTAGGTTATTGGAGCCTGTCCATCGAATACTGGACAAAGCGAACGGCACATAATAAACGTACAGTCGCACAAATACTTATTAACATTTGAGGTGTACCATACAATATTGATCATTGAGAATTGTTTTATCGGCAGGAAGATTGTGAAAGGTACTGTGGGAGGCAATGACTTTAGGCGAAAAAGCGTTACAACGTCTTGACCTCCTCAATGAAAATGCGTCCTGCGTCAGTTGACATGACATAACACGCATTTCATCAGGCACATAGTATTAACGCTGTAGCGTTAAAGAGCTCGTTTCGCAGAAGTTCTGGCGTCGGAGTCGTCGGTTGTGAGCAGAAATCATCATCTTCTGCGTGACCGAAAAATCGCAAACGATGCAAATAAAATAATTAAAATTCATGCGTCCGAGTTGGGATCCAACCTGGCTCGTTCGCGTGGTAAGCGGGTGTTCTACCACACAGCCACGCCTCTGCTTGTAAATACAGTGAAAGTAGCTTTCATGCATTACAAACAGACCTGTCCTGTATACAAGCTTCCTAATACAGCACAAAATAGTATAATTTTAATGCCTGATTCAAGCGAACATTGCCATCGGGGGTCAGAACATGTGATTATCATAATGACTTCATGCTTTAAAGCCGGTCACCCACTACAACAGGCACACACGTTACTGCGTCCATTTCCTTAAGGCCAAGTATGTAGTGGGCTCATGGCAAGTTCAAAAATACTTCATGCACCAAAGTTCGCAATTGAGACAAAATATCGCTATTACGTTGAACTCTTAAAGACGAAGCTTAAGGGTCCTCCAATTTTTTTCCTTGTTTTACGTCTCATCATACCAACGTTGCGATATCCGTATACTGTTATGATCGGCCTCCCAGACTTGGTGCCGCTTGGACGTGAGACGGTTGCGGGACAGTGCTCGCAGATGTGAACCACAAGCGACAACGACACGCAAGCCGTACTGGAAATTTCGCGACGCAGCCGTCTCTCATTGTAAAATTCTTTGAACATATCCGACCGACTGGCGACTTATGAAAGGCTATTTACAGTCAAAACAGCCTAAAAGGGTGGGGTTATCTCTGTACGTCTTGTTCGTCGGAGTGCCGCGGACAATGAGCCAAGTGACTGAGAACCATCTGTGGATGCATTTCCCACGTTCTCCGTGGTGCCTAATAGCGCTGTTTTCTCAAGTCATGGTCTGCCTGGCGCCGCATACTCATCACTGCAACGGTCTGCCGAGTTCATTACCTTGTAGGACTCAACGTCTTCGTGCGGTGCTGTGTCGAACGTGGTGTGCAGTGTTTTCTCCCTCGCTGTGGGACGAACTGGGCGTGCCTTTTCCCTCTTTCGTGGGTTGGGAAGGAGGTGGCGTTTCACCTTCCCTTTCGGGGGGGAAGGTGAAGATGGCAAAATTTATTGGATTGTCCTGGCCTTCATTGTTTTTTTTTTCTGCGGGGAATTCTGGGAAGGCAAGGGCATAAAGTGCGAGCGCCGAGGCTCTCTCGACAAGCTCTCACAGGCTCCGAGAAGCTCACAGAAGCTCGAGGGCTTCTACAATGCTAACCCCATCAAGTAGCAACACGCTACCTGTAAATATTGTAAATAAAAGTTACTAATAGCAGCTCCCTACTCCTCTCCTTGACATCTCTCCGAGACTCTGGCTGGCTCCAGTTCTCAGGGTAGACCCCCGAACACATCAATGCATTCAGGAATCTCTGTTTGATTGGCGTTAACGAAAGAGGTAACTAAATGCGTAACTCACTTACAGCAAAGAAACTTCTTGCGGACCTGCATTGCCTCATTGCCGTTACAGTAAAAAGCAAGGCACCTTACTTGTGCTGCTACTCAGTGGTCAGAAGTTGGAATGAGTACGTCTTCTCTGCGCAAACCCATTTCAGTGCCATAAAGGTCATATCTATATAGAACGTAAGATGTCTAGCCGAAAAAAAGGACTTTA